TGTGAGGGGCGTGCCGAAATGGGCGCGGGGACGCCATGCGAGCACGCACACTGGGGCCATAGGAGGGGCCCCCATGGAGGCAGGAGTTGCGCAAGAGCCGTGCCGACATGAGTGCAGCAAAAGCAGCAGGAGCGGCAGCGATGGGATGGGGGAAGAGGAACAGGAGGAGGGGGAGGGGGAGGAGGAGAGGAGGAGAGGAGAGAGGAGGAGGAGGAGGAAGCGAAGGGAGGAGGAGACGAGGAGGAGGAGGAGGAGGAGGAGGAGGAGCAAAGGCGGGGCGCGGCGCTGCGGATCCAAAACGAGGATCCAGCACGCGGGAGGCCGGGAACACACACGCACGGAGAGAAGGCAGGCGCGCGGACCCACAGGGACCCCTCGGAGCGGCCACCCCGCACGGGCCAAGGACGCCCCCCCCCCCCGAGGGGCTCGTGGATGCCACGACAGTCGAGGGCTCCCCACTTCGCGCCTCGCACTGCGCGAAGCGCTCGCCAATCCCTCGGGCGTCCATGTTTTTTGTGTTCTTGTTTCGGTGTCGTGCGTGTTTGTGTTCGCCAGATGGTCGAGGATGTTCCTCGATGGCCCTCGCCGAAGCACACGTCCGAGCGATGCCAGGAGCGCGAAGCGCGAGGAGCTTCGCGCTCCCGCGCCGCCTCCCAAGGGGAAAAGAGGAGGAGGAATCGGAGGAGGAATCGGAGGAGGAGGAATCGGAGGAGGAGGAGGAGGAGGAGCAGGAGGAGGAGGAGCAGGAGGAGGAGGAGGAGGAGGAGTCGGAGCCGAGCCGCGGAGCGCGAGGCGCGCATGGCGTCGCGCCCTCGGGGGAGGCCCTTGGACAGTGGACACCCCAACAGTCCGATCAGTGGACCAAAAAGGTGTTGAAAATGTCGGGGAAGTGTTCTGAACAGATTCGAAACATGTGTGTTGTTTACATGTTATACGCATGTTCTAAGCATGGTTCAGACATCTGGAAGTTAGTTGGCAACACGCTTCCTCTCCGTTGACCGTCGTCCACAGCCCGAGGGAAAAATCCACACCCCATCTGGCCAGGGGCGCACAAGAATCTCTGGCAGCAGTCTCAGAGTGCTTGTGATGACTGCTTCGTGCGCGAGCGGTGGCCCCCGGGGGGGGGGCCCAAGGCACCCTGGCGACAAGCTCGCCACTGGCCGGCAAGGTCGGAGCAGTCGGATCCGCGACGGCGCTCTGCCCCGGGCGCGGCCCTCGAACCCCCCAGATGGCCACACCAGGGTCCCATGGGAGCTCCGAGAGGGCCCAAGAGCAGCCAAAGAGCGAGGATCCATGGGTGGCAGGCCCCAAAAGAGGGCCCCGAAACAGCACCGCGGCACAGTCCCGAGGTGGCCAGAGATGGTCCAAGGCAGCTTCACGAGGCCCCCAAACCCCAGGATGCCAACATCGCTCATGCATCAAATGTGTTTCAATGATTTGGGCGTCGCGCTGCCTCGCGTCAGCTTCTGGGCCCCCCAGATGGCTGCGAGATCATCAGACAGGCTCCGAGAGGCCCCGAAGACCCCCCCGAGAGAGCGCCCCAGGAGCGCTCCGAAGGTGCTCCAAGAGAGCCCAGAGCCTGGCCCAGCACGGGGCCCAAGACGGGGGGTCCATGGGTGAGAAGCCTCCAGATGGCCCCGAACAGGCCACAAGATAGAGGTGGCCCAAGACAGCCCAAGACAGCCCCCAGCTGGCTCCCTGAAGACACCCAGGAGGCCAAAATCGCTCCAACGCACGGTATGTGTCAACGGTTGGGGCTTTGTCTCGCTGTATCGCTTCCAGTGCGCTTCTGAGGCCTCCAGATGTCGCCGAGATCGCCACAGAAGCCTCTTGAAAGTGCCGACAATTGCGCAGTTGGCAACAGCGAGGGATGGCGAGGGAGGAGAAACGAGAAACAACCGAAGAGGAGTATGCGAGGCAGCGAGGAGAATGCGAGGCAGCGGGCAGTGAGGAGCGGGAGAGGAAGAGAGAGAGAGAGAGGAGAGAATGAGACAAGAGAGGAGGGAGCGGAAGGAGGAGGAGGAAGAGGAGGAGGAGGAGGGGAGGAGAGCAGTAGCACTGTCCTTTCAAAATGACGAACCGACCAAAAAGGGTGCTTTCTGAGAAAAAAATCGCCGGCCCAACGGGCCAGGGCGTGCTAAGATGTCCGGTAACAGGTAAACAGTATTTCTAGTTCGCGCGCGCGGGGCGGCCCCTAGGAGTCCCCGGGCGAAAAAAAACCCGGCAAGTCCCCGGCAGGGTGGGGGCCAGAGATGCCGGACCGGGCAATTTTTCGACACCCCTCAAGAGGATCGTGGCCTCCGAGGGGGGAGCCGCAATCGACTACCCCCCCTCCCGCCCGAAGAGGCCCCCAAGAGTCCCCAAGACTTCAAGAGGCCCTGGGGGCCCCCAAGACGCCGCCAAGAAGCCCCAAGAGACTCCCAAGAGGTCCCCAAGAGGCCTCCACGAGGCCCTAAAGAGGGCTCCAGGGCCGGCGGAATGAGCGAAGCGATTAATAATCGGGGATCTTCTGACCCGGGTCAATCCAGACCCGGGTCAGTCAGGCCTTGCAAAATCGTGCACGATCCTGCAAAATCCTGCACCCAAACCCGGGTCAACGCGAAGGATCCTGCAAGATCCTGCAGGATCCTGCACCCAAACCCGGGTCAATGCGACCCTGGCTCTGCAGGATCCTGCAAGATCGTGCCCCCCTGGCTGACACCCGTTTGCGTTGACCCCCGTTTCAAGGCTCCCGACGTGAGGAAAGCAACACACGGCCAGGGGGCCGAATGACATCCTGGACGGCAGCAGGCCCGAAGCAGCGCTTCGGAGTCCTGACGAGAGCACCCTACACACATACAGAGCGAGAGAGAGGGAGAGAGAGTCAGGGCGCCACATGCGAACCCTACCCCCACCCCCCACGATTTCTGAGGGGGCGGGTGGGGTTCACTTCGTTCGGGAGCTCTCGAGCGAAGTGAATCCCACCCTCCCCCTCAGAAGCCGAAATCGTGGGGGGCAGGGGGTAGGGTTCGCATGTGGCCCCCTACCTATACACACACACACACACACACACACACAAACACACACACACATATACAGAGCGAGAGAGAGAGAGAGAGACAGAGAGAGAGAGAGAGTGTAAGCGGAAAGTGGAGAGCGCGATCTAGAAATTAACGGGCGAAGAACGGTGGCACCGTAGGGGTATAAACTTTCCAGCCGCCCAGGGACAGGCGCCCCCGACAGCGAAAAAGTTTATTTTATACCGCTCTGCGCTCGCTGAAGAAAGGCTATCCCAAAAAGACACGACTGGATGGGGTCCGCCACCGTGCCTCCTGTGCCTCATCCCACGCTTTGGAGTCCCGAAACGGTGCGGTGACAGACCGTGCGGTGATCTCGAAATCCCGCAAGACCTCACCGCATGGTCCGTCACCGCACGGGCTTGGGACCTCGGAGGCCCCAGTCGCCCGAGACGTCCTCGGGGAACGACTCGAGTCCCAAAACCGTGCGGTGACCCCGAATCCCCACCGACTCACCGCACGGTGTGGTCACCACCCCGTTTGGGGGCCCCCGACATGCGCCTGTCCTCGATCCTGAGGGTTCTGAAAGGACCGGAACCCCAAATTGCCAAATCTTCTTGAGCTTGCCGCGTGCCCACTGGGCTCCCCCGCGTTTCCCCGCGCGACTTGCTCGGGCCCAAGAGGGCCCTAAGACGGGCCAAGAGGGCCCCAAGAGGCTCCCAAGATGGTCCAAGAAGGCTTCGAGACACCTAAATATTGCTCCAAAACGCCCAATACGGCCCCAAGACGGTCCAAGAGGCCCTCAAGACGCCCCAAGAGGCGTCCAAGAAACTTCCAAAGAAGTCCCCAAAAAGCCAAAAATCAGTGACTTCCCAATTGCTTTTGAAGGTGGTTGGTCTTCTCGCCTGTTCGGCTTTCCGACGCTCGCAGACAGCCCAAGAGGCCCCAAAATTCCCCCCCCAAGACGGCCCAGAAGGCTGCCAAGACGGCCCCAAGAAGGCCCCAAAAAGGCCCCAAGAAAGCGCCAATCGGCGGTGGACAAACCTCCCTTGAGTAAACCTCCCCTTATGGACAACGGCCTGGGACCGAAACCGACGGACCTGGACCCGCAAAAATGACGGCCGCGACGCCCTCTCGCGAACCGAAGACGGCCAATTCCTCAATCGACGTGTCAGGGTAGGAGGTCTATCCACCTCCGAGCCAAGACGGCCCAAGCGGCCCCCAAGACGGCCCAAGAGGAACCCGAGACGGCCCCAAGAGGAGTCCAAACAAAGAAGGGGCCGCGAAGCGAAAAAGCTCGAGCGCCCCGCCCCCCGAGAGAAGCCCCCGGGAGGCCCCTCGAGAGGCAGGCCCCGAGAGGCCCAGTGCGCGCTGCGGGGGCCCAGCCGCAGAATGCAGAGGGGAGAGAAGACTCCCAGCGGCAGAGTCCAGGGAGACTGCGAGCATGGCCGAGAGATGCAGTCGTCGCCCTGACCTAAGGAACGAGAAACAGGGACCGAAGCCCCTTTTTTTATCCCAAGGAATAACGCAGAAGGAACGATACATAACAAATAACGCATAAGGAACTGCAAATAACGCATGCAAACCTAAGGAACGACCGAGCCCCTTTTGAAAAGTAGGTGGTCCTTGTTCAAGCCGCTCAATGTACATGTAACCAGGAGTTGTGCCAAAGGCAGGAAGCAGAGAAAAGAACCCACGAACAGCATGGCGCATACACCGTATCACCACATGCATGTACGTGCACATGTGGCACGGAGGCTTCGAGATAAAGCGCCCAGGCGAGTCGAGGAAGGGAAGCCAAAAACTAGAGCACTCGGGACGTCAGTGCCAGGTGCAACTACTATAAGGTCACAACTGTCGTCCTGACTGAACAATCACGCAACTGACGCTCCACCTCAAAACTTCACATCTTGGGCTCAGCGCAAGTGATGACAATTCCGCGTAGCAGATGCGGACAAGGCAGGTCGCATTCCGATAGCTTCTTGGTGGTCAGTCGGATTGGGGCTAGACCTTGATGAAATCTACTCTCTGCACGACACCAAAGTTCTTATAAAAGAAGACGCATGCAAAAACCTGAACACATGCCACACTATAGAAAAGACAATGCCACGACCCGGTCGCTTCTAAAACCCACGCACCATATATTGGCGACGCGATGCCAGGCAGTGTCGCTATCATGTTCCCGAAAGCCAGAATTAGACTGCTGTCTTTGCCACCGATGTCTAAATATGCAGCCTGAAAGCCTGCATTGCAGACGGACATGCAAGGGAAGAGCACCGATATGCAGCAACCCGCAAACAACTTGTCGGGAGCACTGGCCAGCAACATCAATAGCATCACAGATATGCACAGAGACACACAGGTGCACAGCTGTCGCACCTGCACACAAGTGAACCCTCGCCTCAACAACCCATCGGCGAATTGTCCCGCGTATCCGCAAACCCCCACTTGCAGGGGAAGTCAATGCGCATGAGCGCGCAATAAATCTGGTGTCACCCTGCACGCTCACACATCTCGCACTGCCACGCGCGACAGCATCGGCGGCGGCAGAGAAGCCAGCTGCCGCTGCACGCAGGTCTCCCACGCGCCTAATAAGATTGCTCCAACTCAACAGTGGTCCAAAGTTCCGGTTGCAGCGGGGACAAACTCGTTAACTCCCTCCTTGTCCTCCCCTTCCTACTCCAATCCTACTCCTCGGCATCCTCCTACCAATCGTTCTCCTGTTCATATGTCGCCTCATAATTCTGCTGTTCATCCTTTCTCTTCCTGCTAACCACGAACTCGTTAACACCCCCGGTATGCCTAGCGAAATGGCGCAAGCCTCGAAGATACAGCAGTGACCATCTCCACAACCTTGGGCACGGTCAAATCTGCCAGTCCCACCCAAGGGGCACATCGCCGGGCGAGACGAATCATTACTATGGTCTTCCTCCACCTCACACGAGATGCAGGTAATCCATCGAAACGCACATGGTGGTCGGCTGTAGGCTCTTTGGAATGTGGAACAACCAACCGATTATGAAAGCCAGCCGCGTTGCTTCCCGCGCCCCTCTCGGCTAACATTCGTTCTGCGACGGCGGATACAACATTGGATGTTGCGGTGACTGCTGTGCTCGGAGGACCCCGGCGAGATAGGCGGAGTGGCGCACCGTCTACTGCAACAGCTCGGAGAACCAGCACCCAGTGGTCGAACGGATGTGAGATCATGCTGCGACTGCCGGCAATGGTACCGAGCAGTTGGGAGTCCTGCACTGCGACCGTGTGTGAACTATGTCGGCAAGGCTGTGTCTTGCCAATGTGGCTCCTACTCAACGCTTGCGCTGACAGGGTGCTAGCGAAGGTGGCTGATCCCGAGGTGGCTGGAACTGTGCAACCGATTTCGGGAGGTGGTGGGATCCCCTGGATTCCCGAGTCGCGGAGCCTGATCCGCTGATTTCTAGATTCCCGATTCGTCGATTGTGGTGCGTAGGGGATGTGTACGGAGTGCAGCGAGTGCAGAGAGAGGGAGAGAAATAGCATTGAGAAAGAGTAGAGATAAGAGAAAGAGGGAGATAGAGAAGGAGAGGGAGAAAGATAGAAAGAGAGAGAGGGAGATACAGAAATATAAAGAGCGCTGATAATGTAAATTGTGCACAGCGCGTGTCTGCAAAACGAGGTGTGTTGAGACACAGATGAAGATCGTAGGACCTGTAGTATTTGAGTCGAGTATGGAGCACAGACACTGTAGGGAGCGCAGAGAGCGAGCAGAGAATATGCTGAGTGCAGAGGACGTACGTGGGCGTAGATAATAGCAATGCTGCAGGTCAGGTATAGCAAGTAGGGAATGCGGTGCGCTAAATACGCTCGGAGCTTTGAAGGTGCACACGAAGCGTATGTTGTGCATAGAGAGCAGGGGAAGAAAAAAAGAAATGTGTACTGTAGGGATGTGGAAGCATTGACTTGATCCTGCGTAAGTTCTGAAAACAGAGATGGCAGAAACCGCAGCGTGTATCAGAACGGGCATGGCAACGTAGAAACAGAACGGGACATCAATGCACAGATCCGCCACAGTGCCGCGGGGCACGAGGCGGAAAGTCCTCAGGCCCTATCGAACGCTGTGCGCATGGAACACCTGGAAAAATCAGCACAGGGCCCGCAGCCCGAAGCTCCTGTCGCTCTCGGACGTTCCTAGGCGCTCCCACTCGCTCTGGGGGGATGCTTACCGAAACGTTCCCAAAGGCAAGACTGCCCCAAGAGGCCCCCAAAGACATAGAAGAGGGCCCCGAATCGTCCAACAATCGCTGCAGACGCACCAGACGGCATCCAGACGACCCAAGAGGTTCCCAAGACGCGCCAAGAAAGCTCCAAGAGGTCCCGCATGAGGGCCCCGAGGGGCCAACATCATGCATGGATGTACCAGAGGTGCTTCCAGGAGACCCCCGAGAGGCACCCCAAAAAGATCCGTACATGCATCCGAGACGCCGCTTAGCCACAACCCAAGGCACAGTGGCGGGATGTGCCGAATGTTACTAAACCTCTTTGGGACGGGAACGGAAAGCGCAATGTGCTTTGCGATGGCGCGCGATCGCTGGCTCGTCAGTTGATCCTCCTCGAGCGTCCTCTCTTCCCCTCGCCCTTGACTTGTCGCATCATAGGGGCTGTTAGGGCTCTCTTGGAGCGTCGTGGGGGACTCTGGGGCGGTCGCCGGGTCCTCTTGAGCCTGCTTCAGGCCCGTCAAGTCAAGACTATGTGAGAAACAACCTTTTAAGCATGCGATGCTGGAGATTTATCCACGTTTCAAGGATAGCCCCAGCAGAGTCGCCATTTTCGGCAATCTCGAGGGCGCTCTTGAACTGTTTGGATCTTCCGATATCCGAAAGTCGTGTTCTCCACGTTTGCGCCGTTCGCTCTCAAGAACCATGTTTTCTCCGCTTCGACCGCCCACTATCCGAATGTCGCGTTTTACCACAACTGGGACCACCAGCTCCTCAGAACCATGCGTTTTCCCCGTTTGGACCGTCCGCTGTCCGAATGTCGTCTTTTCCCCGTTCGGACTGCCCGCTCCAAAACCATGCGTTTGCCCCGTTTGGGCCTGGGAGACTCTCGAGCCGTCTTCTGGCCCTCTTGAGCTGTCTTGGAGTCCTCTTGGGAGCCCCTTGGGCCGTCCTGGAACGATCTCGGCGGCACCGCGAGCCCTCGTGGCCTGTCGGAACACCTAAAGAAACTTACTGATTTGCGCCCTTGGGGCCATCTCGGGGATCCTCTTGGAGCACTCTTTAGACTTCTGGGAGCCCCGTGGGCCGTCTTGGATCTGGAGCCACCTTGGGAGTAAGATTGGACCGTCGTGCGCCCTCTTCGAGACCATCTTACCATCATGGGCCATCGTGGGGCCCTAATGGGCCGTATTGGTGGGCTGGGCGTCCTGAGATCTTCCAAAAGCGATCCCTAGGCGGTGTTGTGAATGCCTTATGTGTTGAGGATGTCCCTGGCAAAATCACAATGTTGAGCAAGACCGCGACCACGACGACATCGACAACATCTCAGGTGTGTGATGTCCCAGGCGAAATTGTCAGGTTAGGCAAGATCGAGGCCAAGACGGCGTCGACACCATCTCATTGTTTCAATAAGGATGTCCCTAGCGAACTTGCCAGTTGAGGCAAGAACGATGTCGACAGCATCTCACGTGCGTGAGGATATCCCCAGCGAAATCGCCATGTCGGGAAAGAGCGATGTCGACATCTCGTTTGTGTGAGGATGCCCCTAGCAAAACCGCCATGCTGGGCAGAAGTCAGAGCAATATTGCTGGGCGATGTTGGACCGCCTTGAAGCCTTCCAAGAGCGATCCCACGACATCTCATGCGTGTGAGGATGTCCCGAGCGAACTCACACGTACGGCGGCTAGTGGGCAAGGTCTCAGGTGTTGTGAGGGTGTCCTGAGCGAAATCTCAAACTTGAGCAAGAGCGATGTCGACAACATCTCTTTTGCGTGATGAGTCGCAAGCGAAATCGCATTGTTGGGCAAGACCGAGACAAAAACGACGTCGACGGCACCTCATTTGTGTGAGGATGTCCCCAGCGAAATCGCCAGTTTGGGCAAGAGCAGTGTCGGCCCTATCTCATGTGTGCGAGGATGTCCCGAATGGCATATAGCCACGGGCTGTGTCGGGCGGCCCTGCGGACTTCCAAGAGCGACCTCAGGACATCTCAATGTGTTGCCAGCCTCGAACGTATCCCTATCCCTAAGATTGACACGCCAAAAGGCGATGACAATCTTAAGGATTCGCCCTCAAACAATAAGGGAACCCCTAAGATTGGCATCGTGATGGGGAGGTGCCCAGCATAGGGATAGGGATACAGTAGGGGCGTTGACCTAAGGAACCCTAAATAAGGAACGAGGCCCCTTTTCTCCATAAGTTAAACTTCGATCTCCCATCGAAAACAGAAGGAAAACCTGAGGCAAGCTGTGAAACACTTCAGGAACGCGGAGCCCCTCCCCAACGAAAAGGGTTCCTTCTTCAGCGCCCCGACTGTATGCTCCAGGCTGGTAAATGTGCTGAGGATGTCCCGAGCTGAATCGCTAATCGGGCTCCTACCCCCCTGGGGCTCCGCCTGCCACCCCCCCGAAGTACCCCCCTATCCTCCTCCCTCCTCCTCCTCCTCCCTCCTCCTCCCCTCCTCCTCTCCTCCTCCTCCTCCCTCCCTCCCTCCCTCCCCCCCCTCCCTCCCCCTGCCTCCCTCCCTCCCTCCTCCCTCCTCCCTCCTCCTCCCTCCTCCCTCCTCCCTCCTCCCCCATCCCTCCTCCCTCCTCCCTCCTCCCTCCTCCCTCCTCCCTAACGGGTCGGACGCGACGCGCGCTTTCCGTCATCCGCCGCCCCATGTGGCTTGCCAAAAGGTGAGCACGGCGTGCAGACTTGAGGTATAGATTCTGATCCGCTCGAGAGGCTTCCGGTGGGCCCTCGGCCCCAGAAGGCCCCATAACGGTCACGGGTCGTCGGTCTTCCCGCTCCCGACGGCCCCAAGATGCGAGCTCTGGCCGCAACGGTCGGTCACATAGGCGCTTCCAACAGGCAAGGGGCGGCGGAGAATCGCCGTAGGCGTCTTCGAACCGCTGCCCATTGCGTGTGTGTGTGTGTGTGTCACAAGACAGATGTTTAAGGCGTGCCCGACTTTTTGCTCTCGTCGAACACATCTGGCTGGCCATCCAGGGAATTCCAGAAATTCGTCTGCCGATTGGCTCCCCGAGCCAAGATGACCTCAGGATCACCTCCAAGACGGCCCAATATGATCTCAGAAGCAATCCAGGAGGTTCCAAGGGGCCTCCCAGTTCGCCCAAGATGCCCCCGAGACGGCCCAAGAGGGCTCACAGACGCCTTCCAGGTCCAGAAAATGGACAAAATAATTTACTTTCCTGAACTGTGTGAACGGATCCCGCGTTCTCGCCGGTGCACGCTTCCGACATCGGAAGACGGCCCCAGAGGTTTCCAAGACGTCACCAAGACGGCCAAAGAAGCCCACGAGAGGGCACGAAGACGACCCAAGAGGGCTCCAAGAGCCTCCCAACACTGCGCACAAGACCTCCAAGACGGCCCTAAAGCGCCCCAACAGGCCAAGAGTGCCCCAAAACGGCCCAAGAGGCCCCCAAAGACCTCCAGAGATCCTCAAGAGGCCTCCAAGGGGCCCCCAAGAGGCCCCCCGGAGCCGCCCAGGAGGCCCAAAGAGGTACACATTTCCTCCTTCACCTTCTCCTCCCCCTCGTCGTCCCCCACATGTTGCCCCAAGCGTTTCCACAACGGCCCGGGGAAACACATAGCCTAATAGTTTGGTAAGTCGTCGGCCAAACGTTTCGCCACATAGGCTATGTCAAAAGGCAAGGGGCGGCAGTGGTTCGAAGTAGTCGTCTTCGATCATTGTTTGTGACCCCCATGTCCTAATATTGGGTTAACGTTCTGGAAGTTATTCGGTTCTTTAAGAACTCCCCCTGGGCCTTTGGCACACGCGCCAGCCACCTGGAAAGCTGCTCGAGAGGTGGTTGCCAAGGTTTCTCCTGCTACAGATGGCTCCAAGATGGCCCACGATGGCCTCCAGGACGGCCAAGATGGCCCTCGAGTTCGCCCAGAATGGTCCACAACGGCCTCCTAGATGGCCCAAGAGGATCAAAAATGCCTCCAAGTCCGCCTAAGAAGCCTCACTAACGGCCCAAGACAGCACAGGGGTCCCCCAAAAGGCATTGAAGACGGCTCGAAAGGCCAGCACGAGGTCCCCCAGGAGGGCCCGAAAATGCGAACAGCATTGATTTCCCTTTGGATGTTTAAAGGATTCGGACATTTGCAAAATTGCCTTCCGACGGCCCAACATGGCCCAAAAAGCCAGAAAAGTCACACCCGGAGCACCCGAGAGGCCTCCAAGTGGCCCGTCAGGCGGCCCCAAGAGGGCCCCAAGACGGCCCAAGACGCCTCCAAATCGCCCAAGATGGCCTCCAAGACGGCCCTGGAGCACCCCAAGAGGGCCCCAAGTCGGCCCAGAGAGGCCTCCAAAACAGCTTCTGGCGGCGTCAGACGGGCCAGGAATGCCCTAAGACGGCCAAAGAAGCCCCTAGAAGCTCCCAAGTGCCGCCAAGAGCCCCGTCTCCAAGAGGCCTCCAACAGGCCCCCAGGAAGCTCCAAGGAGACCCCAAGAGTACCCCAATAGGCTTCCGAGAAGCCTCCTCCTCCTTTGTCTCCCTATCCTGGTCTTCTTCTCCGTATGATTCGTTTTGGTAGTATGATTCTGAATGTTAAGAATGTTCGGATTCGTATTAGCATTCTTCTTCTCGGAATCATCAGTATGATGATTCGTAGTAGCATTACTACTCGTAGTAGTCATGATAGCGTTCGTATTGCTAGCATCATGGATATGATAGTATGACAGTTATGATTGTTCAATTTAGCATCATTGATATGGTATGACGTTGACTAGTCAGTTTGGCATTAGTATTGTTATTAGTAGCGTTATCCATGTTAAAGCGCGAATAGTATTAGTCAGAATAGTAGTAGTACTAAGAATACTAGTAATAAAAATAATGATAATAATAAATAAATAAATAAAAATAAAAAAAAAAAAAATAATGGTGGTAATAGTCGTGGTAGTAATACTATAGGTAGGTCGTAGGTCGTAGGTCGTAGGTCGTGGGTCGTAGGTAGGTAGGTAGGAAGGTAGGTAGGTAGATAGGTGGGTAGGTAGATAGGTAGGTGGGTAGGTAGTAGTAGTGGTCGTAGTGCAAGTAGTAGTAGCAGAAGCAGTAGTGGTGGTAGTAGTAGTAGTAGTAGTAGTAGAAGAAGAAGAAGAAGTAGTAGTGGTAGTAGTAATAGTATTCGACGCGTTCTTGTTTTCATCTTTCGTACTAATCTCAATACTTGTATTAGTTGTGTCTCTTTTCTCCCCCACGTGTTCCCCGAAGGGTTTCCACCACGGCTGGGGGAACAGATAGTCCGATAGCCTGGCCGAGTCACGGCCACCACGCTCGGCCACACAGGCGCTTCCAGAAAGACAGGGGGCAGCGGCGGTTTGCCGTGGGCGTCCTCGACACCCCAAGGCAAGCGGGCCACACCACAGGGGCGCTCCCCGTCGTGCCGAAGACTGCCCGGTGGGCCTCCCGTGCTCTTTTCGGAGGGCCGCCCCCCCCTCGCCGCAGACAGGCTCGGGCTCGTGCCCTCACTAGGAAGGCACCCACTATACACCAACACCGATCCTGGCCAGGATCACCCTGGGCCCGGGATCGGTGTATACGCCCTCCTGCCTTGGTCAAGAAGGCATATACACCGGTCCTGGGCCCAGGGCGATCCTGGGCCAGGATCGGTGTTGGTGTATCGTTGGTGCCCTCCGACTCACCCCCTTCTCACGAGGTCACCAGTCCCCCGGCAAGAGACGGCGGTGCCGCGCCCCCGAGGCAGCGAGGGAGCCGCGCTCCCGAGGCCTGCCTGCAAACGTGGGCTCGCCCGCCAGAGCCTCCAGGACGGCGAGGTCCCAGGGCGGCAAAGTGGGGCCTCGGGACGGCCCAAGGCGCCTCCAGGAGCGCCCAGGAGGCCCACCAGAGAACCCCCATAAGAGCCCGAAGAGAGCCAGATGTCGGGGTCTTCACCTTTTCTCTGGCCTCCGGCAGCTCTGGATAGCCCTGCCAAGATGGCCCCAAGACGGCCCAAGAGGCCCCAAACAAGGTCCCGATGGGGCCTCCAGGAGCCAATGATGAGGCCTCCAGGACGGCCCCAGGGCGGACCGAGGGGGACTCCGTCGAGACCCAGGACGGCTGTTGGAGGCCCTTCGACGGGCCTCGGAGGGCGCCAAGAAGGTCCCGCGACGGTCTCCAGACACCACCCATCATGCCAAGGGGCGCGGAGCCCAGAACGGCCCGAGAGAGCCCCGAGATGGCCGAAGAGAGCCCCAGGACAGCCCAAGAGAGCTCCAAGACGGCCCCAAGGGACCTCCAAGACTGCCCCATGGGAGCCAAAGAAAGTCCCAGGGCGACCAAAGAAAGCTCCATGATGGCACCTCAAAGAGTGAAAACAAAAAACGTGTCACATGTGACGACATTCCTCTTGATCCTCGCGGTCCAGCTCCTGGTCCTCCTCGTCCTCCTCCTCCTCTTCCTCCTCCTCCTCATCCTCCTCCGACTCCTCCTCCGACTCCTCCTCCTCCTCCTCATCATCATCAGCAGCAGCAACAGCAGCAGCATCATCATAATCATCAGCATCATCATCCTCATCATCATCGTCGTCGTCGCCACCATCATCATCCTCATCATCATCATCATCAAAATCATCATCATCAACAGCATCATCACCACCACCATCATCATGATCAGCATCATCATCAGCACCAGCATCATCAACATCAGCATCAGCATCATCAGCATCATCAGAAGCAGCATCATCATCACCACCACCAACATCATCATCAGCATCATCAGCATCATCAGCATCATCAGCAGCAGCATCGTCGTCCTCGGTATCATCAGCATCCTCAGCGTCATCATCAGCAGCAGCATCATCCTCAGCATCATCATCAATATCATCAGCAGCATCATCATCAACAACACCATCATCGTCGGCATCATCATGATCATCAACATCATCAGCATAATCAACATCATCAGCATCGTCGTCCGCGTTACCATCAGCATCCTCAGCGTCATCATCATCAGCAGCATCATCCTCATCAGCATCATCATCATTCTCATCAGCAGCATCATCATCGTCGTCATCATCGTCAGCATCACCATCCTCAACATGATCACCAGTATCATCCTCATCCCCATCCTCATCCTCACCATCATCCTCATCCTCATCACTCTCAACATCTTCATCACGGCTCTCCCAAGCTTGGGGGCACGAGGTGTCATAATTCTTGGCCTCCCGTGCTCCAGCGAACGGTCGCCACACAGAATGCAGGGCTGCCACGGTGGCGGGACTTGCCGCAGGCAGCTGGATATTCTCATCGCGCCTCCATTGCGAACGCCCTGTCTCCTCCTCGTGATCTTCCTGTGCTCCCCCATCAAATTACGTTTCTTCGGTGTCATCTCATATAGAACCATGCTCCCGATGTATGTCTAACGAGGACAATGCTCTCTATGTCTAGTATTCCGTTGATTCAGACGGGCCCGCTGGCGACGCCATTTTCTGCAGATGAACCGGGTACGCCACTGAAAAAATGTTGCGAGAAATCAGCCCTGGTGGTGGCTGACGCACAACTTCAAACCTTTGACGCCTCCCGACTGCACTGTGAATTGCGAAAGGTTGACCTTGGACCTGATCTCCGATCGAGCTGAAGGGGCAAGTCACGGCTCAGTAACACGATGGTCATGGTGCTGTGTCGTGGCTCATTTAGCACAGCCCGAAGGGCAAAGCATTGGACTCTGTACCATGTACGTTTCGACATGTGGCATGAGGGATGGAACAAATGCAGGTGGGAAGGCAAAGATAAAGGGAAAGAGAGAGAGAGAGAGACAAAGAGAACAACCAATAATACCGCATGAATATGGAAGGGAACTCATAGAAGGAGTAGGGAACCTGATGAGGGAACATGAAGGTCCTATGGGAGGAAGGGCCAGGAAGAAAGAAGGACGAAATAAAGAGACAGAGAGAGAGGGAGAACAAGAACATCAGGGGGGATGAGGATATGGGGGGGCAGTGAATTACGAACAAGAGGCGGAGGACGAGAAGAGCGGATAAGGACCTCGCCAGTTTTATTTCGACAATGCACTTGGAAAGCGATGCGCAGAAGTCAGAGCCGAGCGTGGGACGGTGATGCACCGAAGGTGTTCGCGATAAATGCTGATCTCTTCCAGATCGAGGTCGAACGAACTGCTCAAATACGTTGGCAGCCATAACAATCCGCGGAATCCTTATTGCCAGGTGCTGACAAGTCGTGTGGGATGATTTGGCCGCATCCGTCCAACCGCCCCCTTTCCCCATGGGATCATTCCAGACCGTGGATCACCGTCTTTATCACGGATCTCCTGGTCAGGTACTCCCCCACCCGCCCCCGACTCCCGATGGCTGTAAGCCCCACAGGTCCCATAAAACAAAGCGGGTCCAACTCGATGATAATCTGGACCCCCATCAGCTTCTGATAGCACACCCAAGAGGAGGGATGGGCTCAAGGCTGGTTTCGGCGGCGCGCCGGGCGGTCAAGTAAGAGGGGGCAACCTTTTTCAAAAGGAGGCGGGGCTTCCCAAACCTCCAGCAGTTCGAAAGCCCTGTGCGGATTCGGAGAGAGCTCCAAAAGCTAGCCTTAAGTCGGACCTGTCCCCCTACAGGGAGATTGCAACGAAAAATAACAAATACCCCCAAAATAATCAAAAAAAAATCCAAACATAGTCTGGGGACTATTTTTTGATTATGGTCTGACCTTTTTGGGGCATCTTTTGGGGTATGTTTTATTTCTCGTCGAACATCCCCCTGTAGAGGGGGACACGCCCGACAGAAAGCCAGCCTGAGCAGGCACGCTCCCTCTGCCTCCATCGGGGATCTTCTGACCCGGGTCAATCCAGACCCGGGTCAGCAGGAAACCAAAAACTGCAGTGCAGGAAAAAAAAATGCAACGCAAATCTTCGCAAAGCCGGGTCAGCCAATACGCGCGGCCGCCCTCGCGGCCACGAGCGGCTCGCAGACCCGGGTCAGCCAGAGGGGGTCTTCGCAGGATCCTGCAGGATCCGGCCCCCTGGCTGACCCCCGTCTGCATTGACCCCCGTCTCCCACCCCCTGCGCGCGCCGCCGGGGGATTGCCGTCCTCCCCCTGCTCCTCCCCCTCCCCCCCTGCCGTCCTCTCCTCCCCCTCCTCCTTCTACCCCCTCCTCCTCCTCCTCCTCCTCCTCTCCTCCTCCTCCTACCCGCCTCCTCCTCCTCCTCCTCCTCCTCGCTCTCATCCTCCTCATCCTCCTCCTCCTCTCCTCCTCTCCTCCTCCTCCTCCTCCTCCTCCCCTCCTCCTCCTCCTCTCCTCCTCCTCTCCTCCTCCTCCTCCGCCCTCCGCCTCCTCCTCCTCCCACTCCTCCGCTCCTCCTCTCCCTCCTCCTCCGCCTCCTCCTCCTCCTTCCTTCCTCCTCCTCCTCCTCCTCCTCCTCCTCCCTCTCCTCCTCTCTCCTCTCCCCTCCTCCTCCTCCTCCTCCTCCTTCCTCCTCCTCCTCCTCCCCTCCTCCTCCTCCTCCTCCTCCTCCTCTCCTCCTCCTCCTCCTCCTCCTCCTCCTCCTCCTCCTCCTCCTCCTCCTCCTCCTCCTCCTCCTCCTCCTCCTCCCCCTCCCTCCTCCTCCTCCTCCTCCTCCTCCTCCTCCTCCTCCCTCCTTTTCCTCCCTCCTCCTCCCCTCCCCCTGCTGGGGTCCGCGAGGGGTGGGCGCGAGCCTCTCGGCCAGCGTGTAGGCCGCGGAGGCCTGCCCGGCGTGCGCGACGTACGCGGCGACGGCGGCGCCCGACCGGAGCATGGGATTCGTCAGCGAGGCAAGCGTGGACTTGACCTCGGCCTTGCCTGGGCAGGGGGGACTCGCCAACGCTCGGACGTCCCTTTGTTGTTTTTGTTTCGGCTTCGTGCGCGGCTTGTTCGCCACATGGTCAAGGATGTTCCTCGATGGCCCTCGCCGAGGGAAAAGTGCACACGTCCGAGCGATGCCAAGGGGATGGGAGGAAAGCAGGGCCACACGCTCACAAGTCGGGCCCCCGGCGACGCCCAAAGCGGGTTTTTGTTCCCGACTGCTGCGTCCTCAGCAAGATCTGAGCCGGCAGCACCGAGACTGACCAAGCGCTGGGCAAAATTACCCACCCCACCCCCAGGCCCCCCAACAGAAGCAAAAATGGTTGTTGCTGCGCCGCGCCGCATGGACCAGCGGACCACAAGGGGAGCCTTTGCGACGTGGTCCACACGGGGCCAGTCTCGCTTCACCCAGAAGCCCTCTCCTGTCTGCTCGCGTGTGAAAATAGAAGACCCCTCTGCTTGTCGGTTCTGATGTAATCACGGGTTCCTGCTCGTGTGTCGGTTCAAGACCACATCCGCATTGTCGAGTTGTTTGCTGCTCTGGTCCCACCCCTCTCCGTTCTGGAGTAGGGTGGGGCCAGAGCAGCAAAGAAATCCACAAAGCTGTACTGAGGACCCCTTGGAACAGCACTCAAGGTCGTAGCATCTTGTTGTTGAAGCAACCCTATGTCCCCTCGTGTGCCCCGAGCTTCAACTTCGTGCGTACTCAAGCGCGATGGGTGTCCCATGCGTAAGTCCTGTGTTGCTGCTCTCCCTCCCCATCTCGTCCTTGCGTGCGCCCCTCGAAATTTACCATCTCACATCCCTGCTCGCGTGGTGAAAGCGATTTCGCACTCGGGGGGGGCGTCGTCGCGCATGTTTGGTCGCGCGCGCGCGTACATGACTACATCGGAAAAACAACCTGGGTTGTACTTGCGTGGGTGTGTACTTTTACCGTGGTCGCACAATCAACGACCTTCTCGTTCCGTCTTGCTCATCTGCCTCCCCCCTGCTCCCTCCTCACTTCATCCAGGGCAAAAGGCGGATCGCACCTCGCCGGGGCGGCGTCGTCCAAAAAGCGGCCTGCGCCACGCAGCCTCCTGGACTGCAAACCCGCGCCACACCTCCCACCCCGCCACGCAGCAAAACCACCAAGCGTTCACACCTGCTGGCCATGGTCGGGAGCTGGCCATCGCTCGGACGTCCATTTCCTGTGCTTTTTTCTGTTTCGTGCGTGTTTTTTTCGCCAAATGATCAAGGATGCTCCTCGATGGCCCTCGCCGAAAGAAAAATGCACACGTCCAAGCGATGCCAAGGGAGAAGTACGAGCGCAGGCGGGCGCGCCGCGCCCAGCTCGACGACGCCGCCCAGGACGAGCGCTGTCGGGGCGAAGGCCCGTCCATCGAGGCACCCACTCATCGAGGGCTTGCGCGCCCCAGGAACCTCCTCCTCCTCCTTCCCCTCCTCCTCTTCCTCCTCCTCCTCCTCCTCCTCCTCCTCCCTCCTCCTCCTCCTCCTCCTCCTCCTCCCCCCTCCTCCTCCTCCTCCTCCTCCTCCTCCTCCTCCTCCTCCTCCTCCTCCTCCTCCTCCTCCTCCTCCTTGGCCTGGAAGGTCCCAGCCGCGGTGGACGGTGCCAAATTTGGCATGGAGTGTGGTCCCTTGCACGCCGCAGGGGCCCAACACTCCCACGTCGGAGCCGAACACGCTGTGGCCAGGGTCCTTCAAGCGCTTGAGGGCTCTGCTCTGGGTGTCTAGAATGAATGAATGAAGCCGCGTCTCCGTAGGCACATGAGCAATGGCACGAGCGTGCGCTAGACAGTATACTTGCGCACCGCTGCCCTCCAAGCTTCCGCTAGAGGCATGGCGAAACCCCCATTGACGACCGCCACCGAGCGCGCCTGGTTACGAGCTGTCACGAAGCAGATGGGGGGCACTTCCGTACGGCGGCCCTGGTCAAGTACAGTCGGGGCGTTGACCTAAGGAACCCTAAACAAGGAACGAGGCCCCTATGTTCCAAAAGTTTAACTTCGATTTCCGATCGAACGCCGAAGGAAAACCTGAGGCAAGCTGTGAAACACGTAAGGAACGCGGAGACCCTCCCCAACCAAAAGGGTTCCTTCTTCAGGGCCCCGAGTGTACGTGCTTGACCCTCCTGGTGGCTCTTCGTCCGCGGCACTGTCAAGGAGAGCAGCCGGGGCCAGCGTGTCCTCGCTTTGGGTCGAGGCCCCCCGCGTGCCTGCCGAGAGGAGGGGCGGCCCCGCGGAAGGCGGCGGCCCCGCGAGGTCGGCTACCCCGGGTGCTCTGCACGTGCCTGGCGAAGCGGACGGCCAGATTCCAGGAGGGAAGAGTGAAACACACAGACACGATGAATCGTCGATCCCCAAGAAAACATGGGAAAATCTGGGAATTCGGCGGTAAGACAAAAACCCAGAAATTCTGTGAACATATGGGGAATATGTTATTTGTGTGTGTATTTATTTGTGTCTTTGGGCCCCTTGAAGATTCGCAGTCACGCTGCGCCCAGCTGAGGCAATCATGGCTGCCCTTCAATAGCTGTGCGCGACCGCGGCGATGAGAACGAAATCGTGCGCGACCTCGTCCCCCACCTTCGTGGCCACATGCTTCCAGGTGTCGCCCAGACCATGGACCCATTACAGTTCCTTGTCGATGTCCGCAAGGGTTGCATGGGCCTCGTCGTGGAGGAAGAGCCCTCAAGTGTGGGCCGTGGCTGGAGCTGCGATCTCGGAGAGCGATAACTACTACCCCTCCCCCCCACACCACCCCCACGAAATTAAGCTGTTGCACCCTACCTGTGAGCCAAAATGGCCACAGACTGTCATGTGAATATGGCCTGGAAATGTGTTTGCAAATGGTCAGGATTCAAGCGCTAACGACACACACACTCTCCCCTTGGCTCCCCTAGCGTCGTCATTGCGTGCAGTCCGCCACGCTTTAGCACTAGTCTGCAAAGCAGTGGAAAGCAGCGCAAAGCAATGCAGAGTAACGCAAACCAATGCAAAGCCATGCAAAGCTGCAACAAGCAATGCAAAGCAATCAGCACTGAAAAGCCGCGCAGACCCATGTAATGCAAGGCTACAGGGCAACAGAAATATTGATGGTCGAAGTCAAGCACAGAAACGCAGAGCTCGCAAAGCAACGCAGAGCGAAGCGAGGCGGCGCCAAGGACGACAAGACAGAGCAAAGAAGACCAAGGAACCTCGGGCGATCCCAGGGGCCCGGGAAACCCGAGGCCACCCCGAGGCCCCCGGACGACGTCCAGCCCGAGACCACCCGTCCCCGAGGTCACCCCGAGGTCCCGCGGCGACGTCCACCCCGAAGCCACCCCGAGGTTCCTGGGGCCACCCCAAAGTCCCCAGGTCCTCA